AAGACTCAAACCATGTTGCCACGACTTTGTTTCCATCTTTATTTCTCAGGTTCACTTATTTCTTCTTGACTTCAGTCTTCAGTTAGGCTTTATCCTCTACAAAGGCAAGATGGCTGGCCTCCAAATGCCTCAGGCTCACATCCTTCAAAGTAATCTCCAAAGTAGAGAAAATCTTCCCAATTAACTTCAGAGGAAAAGTCTGGGGGAGGACTCTGCTTGGCCTAAACTATGTCTTTATTTGCTAAATCTGGATTGCATGCCCTGGCCTTGTGGCCTAGGGAAGGTAGAGTCCCATGCTGGCCATTTCCTTTCAGGGAGTGCAGTTCTCCAAAGGAAAATGTGTGGCTGTTACTGGAAGGGAAGTAGAGACAGATGAATGTAGCTTTAACAGTCTACTACACCAGAGCTGAGATGTAGCTGGGATGTGCAGGTCCAGTGAACCAGCTGGCATCCTTCCAGATTGTTCAGGAGTCCATTCTGAATGGCTGGTGTCTGTGCCGTACCATTGTTAACTATTTAGAATACCATTCCTGTGTGACAGTATCTCACTACTTATGAGTTACAAATAACATATGTAATGCAATATGAGCACTGTGGAACACATAAAAAGGACATTTATCTTTATGGAACAAAATTTACCCTTTGCACTTAAAACATTTGTTTTTGAAGAGGCAAGGTATTTTTTCAGAGTCTGATCAGAGGTAGAGGAGGGAAAGAGAATTGGTGAAACCCAGTGCTCTTTGTTTCTCATTAAGAAAAAATAACACACATGTGCACACACATGCACACACACACACATATATGAAGTATTTATATGATATTATCACGCGCTACAATATTTAAAAGTGATTTGACTTTCTGATAATAAGACCAAATATTCCCCTCAGTAGTGAGCTTAGGGAAACTAGCACCAAAGCAAAGCTAAGTCCCAAGTCCCTAAGATGCCCTTCAAAAGCAGTCATCCATTTAATTTGATCTATTAAACAAACTTAGCAGTTGGGATGCCCACACAGTGAGAAAGCCTGCTTAGAGATGAAATTTTGGCTTTAATTGGAATCTTCTGTCCTTTATTAGACAACCATAAGCTTCCAATTATATACACCGTCTTTGTTTCAAATATGAAATTTTGGATTTATTAAAACATAAATTTTTATTCTTAGCAACAGATTTAGGAATAAAAATGAGCTTCTGTCATGAACAAATATTATGAGGGTTTTTCTTCTTTCTTTCTTCCCTTTTTTGGCCACACCCCAAGCAGTTGTTAAGAACTGACTAAACACCCACTGTGTATCCAGAACTGTGTTAGCTACTTGGAATTATTAAAAAGAAGTTGGAAAAGTGATTCCTGTCCTTGAAGAATTTAGGTAATATATCTCAGGAGAAAAAATTAATGTACCCAGAACAATCAGGTAACAAATAAACAGTTGCTTTGCTGTCTCCACTAATAGTATAATGATTTTCCCTCCATTTCAGTCTGTTGAAATTTTACCCATTCTTTGGGCTCTGTCTCCAGAACTGTCCTTTCTATAGCTTCACTGATTTCTTGAATGTAAGGTGGGGCCCATATTCCTGTGAACCAACCACCCAAACATTTGATTTAAATTGTCCCTCTTCAGATGTCTTTGGCTCTTCATCATCTACAGGCTGCAGTTCAGCCCTGACCACCTCTCTTGTCTTTTCCCCACCAGCTCTTCTAGGTACCTACTATTTTGAAGGCAAACCAAATCCTAGTATCAAACTCAAACCTAGTTTGGTACAGAACCTGGTACCCAAACTAAAGTTGCTAAATGCTGTGCATTTCCACATCCAGTCTTTTCTTCCTGCAATAACCCTTTCCTTCCCTTTCCCCCAACTTAGTCCCTGATGAAGTTCCACTTATCTACTAACTGATCTCAGACCTCACTCTCTACATGAGGTCTTCTCCCTTTCCATCTACTAGATCAGAATGTCTCTGTATTTCCTGTACCTATTTTTATGATTCTGGGTGGTAATGATTTTTTTTCATGTTTGCATTCCCCTTCTAGCCTCTGTACCTTGAGGATGGCACCCATGCCTGACTTATTTTGGAGTCTTGAGTGCCTTGTAGAGTGCGTGACACACAGCAGGTTCTCCATAAAATTTTATTAAAATGAGTTAAATTAAATAGGAGTCTAGAGAAGACTTGAGGTAGCCGAAGGTCCTTACTGAGCCTTGGGTTTTCTTTTAATGTTGAAAAAGGGACAACAGGAGCAACACCCCAGAGATGGGCATGAACCTAGCAAAAGCTGGGGACCATGAATGAACACATCTGACTTGAGTGGAGCCTGTAGAATAGGGAGTGTTGGGAAATAAGGTCAGAAAGGCCAGGCAGAGCCATAGAAGACTTTGTCAAAAGCAGAGGAGGTGGAACCTGATGTAATACCTAGTGCAATTCAAGAAAAGAAAAATTTAGAAATATCTGTACACAAAATAAGCCTTGTCCCTTCTATAATACCTCTACTTTGGAATTTATCATTTTGTTACTATTAGTATGTCACTGTTTCAAAGGGCCTTGCATCACTAAAGCATAACAGTGTGGGGTTTTGAAGTGGAGTGTGATGCATGGGAGTCGGAAGCCCTGGAATTGAATTTCCACTCTGGCACTAATTTGTGACTTGCTATGGTGAAATTGTTTTGAGTCGCTAATCCTCAGTGTTCTCATCTGTGGAATGAAGGCATGAAGGTGCATGACATGATTCATGAGTTCCCTTTGATCTCTAGTACTCAACATATGGAAGGATAATGAATTCTTAGCCAACTTATTAATCTACCCTTGTTTTTTTTTTTTTTTTTTTTTTTTTTTTTTTTTTTTTTTTTTTTTGAGATGGAGTCTTGCTCTGTAGCCCAGGCTGGAGTGCAATGGCACGATCTTAGCTCACTGCAAGCTCTGCCTCCTGAGTTCAAGTGATTCTCCTGTCTCAGCCTCCCGAGTATCTGGACTACAGGCACGTGCCACCATGCCTGGCTACTTTTTGTATTTCTTTTTAGTACAGACAGGATTTCACCATATTGGTCAGTCTGGTCTCGAACTCCTGACCTCGTGATCCACCTGCCTCGGCCTCCCAAAGTACTGGGATTACAGGTGTGAGCCACCGTGCCCAACCTGTTCTTGGTTTTATTTGCTTGCTTGTTTACCAGTTTTCTGGTGTCAGAGTTGCTTTATTAAGCTGGTCTCTGACAGTCCCACAATATGCTCTGCTGAAATCAGCCTCTGAAACTTGACCATCTTGTCAGACCTGGAAAGCCCTCCTCAACCTCCACTTCTCCTTCAAATCCCAGCCCCAGCCAACATCTTTCTTAAAGTTTTCCTGACCTCTCCATGTCTTTGCTATTTCCCTCCACTTTTAGAGTTTAAAGATAATTCGTCTTGAGTTACTACTTGCTTCATATTGGCTTTTCTCTCTCCAATTAGTTTGTAAACATCTTAAAATAAGTAACTGTTAAGTGTAATATTTGCTTATCTCCCCCCGCCCCCACCGCCCCACCATCACCATACCTGGCATAAAGCGAGGCGCAAAATAAACATCTAAGGAGGTTTTTGAATATTGAACTGAACTGAATGATGTACAAGGGATATTAATAAAAATAGAAAAACTGAACGTCAAAAAGGATAATCTATAGGAATTGGAATGGAAATAATTGTAGCATATCAATAATTTTATACATGGTATTTTGTACCCAGCAAAAGACTGTTTTAAGACAGAGTGATCTGTGAAGTTTCTGGTCTGTGGGCTTGTCTTGAATTAAAGAGTGGGTGGTACTAGGGCTTAGAGATATTCCAGCCAACTCGAGGAAAAGAGAAACAGAGAACTGTTTACTGAGTGACTTTGCTGTTGGAAATGTCCCAACTGCAGCTTGGGAACATCGGGCAGAGTTACCACCCCGCTGCCACAACCTCTGCCAACTTGGATAAAAAGCAGTGAAGTTGACCTGTCTTTTGGCTCTGGAACAAGGCGAGGGAGCGCACCAGCAGGCATGGGAAGGAAGACGTTGTGAAATGAAAGACATGAAAAAGAGATGACTCTGATCTTCTTTCTCCTCAGTACCCTAAGTCTCTCTCCTGCCTCCTTGACACCTGTAAACTGGTATAAAGCAGAATTCTCTACCTTACACCAAGTGGGGCCTGGGGCCCTTGGAGTCCAGCTTGGGATAATAAGACAGCAGTGAGAAACGGTTGTTTTGTTCCCTAAAGTGGTCCTAGGTTTGAAAAGGTTTGAAATTAGTGCTCTAAGAAGGTAATTAGCTTTTAAACAACATAACACTTCAAAAAATCAATGTAAAATATAAGACAAAAAGTCGCTGTTTAAAGTAGTTGAGTTCTAGATCTGACAGTATCATGGCTCTCTTGGTTGTAAATTAGCTCATGGAGATAAAATGTCTGAGTTTAGGACTTCAGATCCTGCCTTTGCTGTCAGATTGCCTCAAGCTGTCTCTGGTAGGAAAGTCTAGAAACATGGTTTCATTGTATACCACCCCCCCACTTTCTGACATGCTCCAAATCTGTTAGTGTTTGTAACAGAACTCTGCATTGCACTGATTTGTCTTACTGTGTGGGGAAATTGTAGGAATAACTCCCATGTGTCATCAACCATTTAGTCGGCATGCAGTTCCTTAGCAGGGAAAACGGTAAGATTTATTAGGGAAAGTATCTGTCATCCCATATAAATAGATGCACAGTTAACGCAGATGTAGCAGGCAGGGTGTATGTTTCTGTGTGACTGATCATGAGGAACTTATTATCAGGAACACTGTAGAAAAATCAGTCATTTGGGAAGGTGGCAAGTATAAGGGTACACTTATACTTCATGCAAAATGCTCCTCAAAATAGTAATTTTGGCTTTAAGTGCATTGTTGTGGTAGGAATCATTTTTATTAAAAATATATTTTTGCTTTAATTTTTTTACTATTGAGAAAATATATGCAAGTGATAAAAACAGCCAAATAATAGAAAAAGGATGTAAAGATCTTTTTCCTCTGCTCACCCCAGTCTCCTGCATCCCTCTCCCTCAGAGGCCATCACTGTTGCCAATTTATTTTGTGTCATTAGGAAATGTGCACAAACAAGCTCATCCTCTTCTTCAGCGTTACAAACATGGTAGTCCACTCCCCACACTCTTCTGAAGTGGTTCTGGAAAGCATTTCTTATTAGTCTGCAGTATGATCCAGGCTTATTGTTTTTCACAGATTTAACCAGTGTTGACATCTTGCCTGACTTGAGTTTTTTGCTTGTTTGTTTTAACATTACAGATACATTTTAACCATAGCACCCACTGCCCAATTCCATTGCTCTCTGCCCAAAAATAATCACTATCCTGAAATTAGCATATATCCTTCCTGCCTGGTTATTATATATTTTGCACATACATAGTTGGTATTTCATTGTATGACTTTGGCATTTGTATGACCGTTTATTGATCCAGCATTCTTTTTTTTTTCTTTTTTTTTTTGAGACACGGTCTCATTCTGTCACTCAGGCTGCAGTGCAGTGTTGTGATCTCAGCTCCCTGCAGCCTCAACCTCCCCAGGCTCAGGTGATCCTCCCACCTCAGCCTTCTGAGTAGCTGAGACTACAGGCATGAGCCACCATGCTGGGCTAATTTTTGTATTTTTTGTGGAGGCAGGGTTTTACCATGTTGCCCAGGCTGGTCTTGAACTCCGGGGCTCAAGAGGTCTGCCTGCCCACATTGGTCTCCCAAGGTACTGGGATAAAGGTATGAGCCACTGAGCCCTGTCCACAATTATATTTTTGAACATTGAGGTTGGTTCCAATGTTTTGCTGTTAAAAACGGTGCTACAAAAAACATTGTATTTCATTTCTCCTTGGGCATATGCATGAGAATTTTTCAGGATACATACCTGCAGGCAGAATTGCTAGGTCATAGGTTAGCATGTGCTCATCAACTTTGTTTGATATTGCAACATTGTCCTCCAATGTGATTTTCAACAATACACATTCACACCAGCCATATTTACAAGTTCTTTTTTTCTTTTTCTTCCACATCCTTACCAACACTTGGGCTTCTCAGACTTCTAAATTTTGCCCATCTGATGGATGTTAAATAGTACTTTATTGTGGTTTTAATTTGCATTTATTACTGAAGTTGAGTATCTTTTATGTTTTTTGGCTATTTAGTTTCCTTCTAACAATTAACTGTTGATACCATCGACAAATTTTCTACTGTATTGCTTGCTTTTTTCTTATTGATTTATAGAGATTTAAAAATATTCTTGATGCTAATATCCAGTAATATATACTATAATTAACTTCTCCAGTGGCTTGCATTTTCACTGTGTCTGGCGTCTTTTGTTTAATAGAATTTTAATATTTAAATGTATTCAAAATGATCATTGTTATTTATGCTTTTGTTATTTTATTTAAGAAACTTGAAAATGTAATAAAGACATTCTCCTGTATTTACTTTGTGATTTTAAGATTCTCCCTGCCACCCTACCATACAGTTAAGGTTTTTAGTCCATGTAGGATGTATTTTGTTGTGGTATGAAATAGGGATGTAAATTCCTTTTCCCTGTACATAGTCAGTTGTCTTAGGACCACTAAGGTAATGTTTGCCACTCCCTGCCGATATGTAAGAGACTTCTGTTCTATATCAACCTTCCATGTATGTGTTTGTCAGTATCTATACCCTTTATTCCATTCTTTTGGCTTATTTTTACTTTTTAATTTTTGAGACAGAGTCTCCCTTTGTCACCCAAAGGTTGGAGTGCAGTGGCATGATCTCGGCTCGCTGAAACCTGCACTTCCTGAGTTCAAGCAATTCTCATACCTCAGCCTTCAGAGTAGCTGGAATCACAGGCGTGCACCACCACACCCAGCTAATTTTTGTATTTTTAGTAGAGACGGGTTTTACCATGTTGGCCAGGTTGGTCTCTAACTTCTGACGTCAAGCGATCGTCCCACATCAGCCTTTCAAAGTGCTGGGATTACAGATGTGAGCCACTGTGCCAGGCCTTTTCAGCCTATTTTTATATTCCTGTCCCCAAAGCCACACTGCTTAAAGAATTATAACCTTATATAATTAGCCTGGTAGGGCAAATCACCTCTCTTTAGTTTTCTTTTTCAAACATATCTCTGCTAGTTGAGTATCTAATCTTCCACACCCACTTTTGGGTTAGATTGTTAAATTCCATGAAGCCTTGTTGGGATTCTGGTTGGAATTACAATGATTCATAGATTCATTATAAATTCACAGGGTGATCTGCCAGATTGACACAATTATCTTTCCATTCCTCAGTGTCTCATCATTTATCCAGTGCATCTTTTATGTTATGTTTTATAATTTTGACTAAATAGGTCTTGCAGATATTTCTGCCTAGATATCTATCCTAAATGGGAGAGCACACACACAGACACACACACACACAATTTTTTTCCACTCTCATACCATACCCTGAACATGTATTCAGAATACTGAATTCTCTTGTTTGAATTGTTTGTCTACACATTCTCCTGCATTTTTAATGTAAATTATCAGATAGTTTATAAACAGGGACATTTTTTCCCCTTCTTTCTAATTCTTATTCTTTTGAAGAGTATTGGCACTGGCTAGGACTTTTAATATTAATATAAGAGTTAAGAGAAGCTGTGATAACAGGCACTCTTGAGTTGCTCCTGACTCTAAAGAGAATGCTTCTAATGTTTGACCACTAAGTATCATGTTTTTCTTGGGTTTTTGGCAGCTGTATACTTGGGAGAGATTGCTGATCCCTCCCTCTCACATTGGTTCTCTCTTTTTTCCTCTGTAGAATCTCTATTTTATTTGGAGACATCACTGTCAAGAAAATTGCCTGCATTTCACTGCCACCTTCAAGTGGGTGAGGGCATATAACATAGTTCCTGCCATTGGGATGTAAGTAGAAGTGATATATGCAAATTCCAGTAGTACCCCTAAAGTGGAAACATAATCACTCCTCCCTTTTCTCCTTCCTGCCCCCTAGAATGCAGATGTAATGACTGGAATTGGAGCAATCATGTTGTACTTGATGTGATCTTAGGAATAAAGATCTTACCAAATTTCAAAATATTAGAGGGAACTTGGCTCTGGGCCACCTAATCAGTCTTTTAGTTGTGAGAGAAATAAAATTCTATATAGTTTGGAATTTTCTGCCACTCACAGCCAGGCTCAATTATATACTTATATAATTGATGAAAAAGCAATTTATGGCAAAAAAAAAAAGCTATTGGCAAAGTGGAAATGGACTACAACCTCATTTTCCTGATAAAATTTGTCATCTTTATCAATGAGGTGAATTACATTGGTAGATTTTTAATATTCAACCATTCTTGGTATTCTGTCATGATATGTTTTTACAGGTGGTAAATACAGAATGATTTTGTTTCTTACTTTTTGCAAGGTTTTAATATGAAAAACTTCAAACATACAAAAAATTTGGCCCATACAGTGAACACCCTTATGCCCACCAACCAGATTCTATAATTATTTTATTATATTTGCTTTGTGCCTTATCTAATATGATGTCTTAATGCATTGCTGAATTCAGTTAGATGCTATTTTAAAATATTTGAGCACATGTGCTCAAAAAAAACAACTATTTTCTTTTCTCATTTTGTCTTTTTCCAGTTTGAGTATCAAAAATATACTTATAAAAGAAGTAAAGAGAGTTCTCCTATTTTTGTTTCACTGAATGAAAAAATCTGTTCAATACAGGAAATAAACTTTGAAGATTTGGTAAAACTCACCTCTTTGGGTAAGTACTTGATTGGCATAGTATTTAATGAATAGATTTTTTTTTAACTGTAGATTCAGTTCTTTTAAAGGGTATAAATAAATAGATTGCCATTTCTTTTTCATGTCAGTTTTAGTGATTTACATATTTCTAGAAAACTGTCCATTCCATTTAAATTGTCAAATGTATTAATATAATGATGTTGATTGTATTCTCTTATGCTTTTAAAAATTTATAGTCAAGTCCTTTTTTCCCACTTTTTTCTCTTATACTCTCAATCAATCTTGCCAGGTTTTGTCTATTTTATTAGTCTTCTAAAAGAATTAGGTTTTAGGCCGGGCGCGGTGGCTCAAGCCTGTAATCCCAGCACTTTGGGAGGCCGAGACGGGCGGATCACGAAGTCAGGAGATCGAGACCATCCTGGCTAACA